GTCTGCGCTCCCGGAGAGCCACCTCCGCAGCCAGCCCCGTCCCCTCCTCTGCGCGCTTCCCCGCGCTCCCCGCGCGCGGTGCGGTGGAAGCCCCGGGCAGGCTCCCAAGCTCTCACCCAGGCTGGCAATCATGGAGGTTAATTCTCCAGCTGTGTGACCCCGCATTGAATGGCTCTGCGCTTAACTGCTGGCGTGCGTGTCTGTGCGTGCGTGCGTGTGTTCAGTCTCAGCCCCTTGACAAACTTCAAAACTGCAGGGATCCGTGATGGGCGGTTTTGCGTGAGCAAGTGTTGGTGCGCCCTCCCCCATCTCTTCCACAGAGGTGGCCTCGGCGGCACACAGCCTCAAGTCTGGGGAGACAGATCTCCAGGGCAGCGGCGGCCGCCGGAAGGGACAAGTTGGCTGACATTTCCCTGTTGGGAGCTTCCAGAAACGGGCTCCCCACTCACTCCTCTTGGGGAGTGAGACTGGGCGGACTGGCGGCTGCAGTCCAGAGGCTAGGGAAGAGGCGTGGCCTCCCAGTGCCCGGGAAGGCCTCTGGAGACTGGCTTGGAGCGAGCCCTCCGAGCCCCTGAGGATGGCTGCCTCATGGCCCGGACTCGGGCCCCTGCGGCTGCTGCCCAGCTCTACTGGCCTTGCTCCCGGGGGCTGTCACCAGCAGAGCCTACGCTGGGCACGTGGTGCCCAGCCAGGGCCGGGCAGAAGTCAGCATTCCAGATGATGCGCTTGCCCTACTGTGCATTGGGATGGCAGAACCCTGTGCCAAGCCCAGCGTCGCGTGAGAGCTGACAGGAGTGTTGTGAGAGAGCCGGGCTCTGCCCCGGCAGCCTGGCAGCCATGTGGGCCTCCCCAGGACCAAGCGGCTCCTCTTGTGAGCAGGACTCCAGGGGTGTGCGGGGTGAGAGGACAGCCCATCTGGGGCCTGGCTCTGTTGCCAGCCTTGTGTTTACAAGCCAGGCTGCCTAGGCACAAGGCATTTGGAGGAAGAAGGGAACAGAAGACCGGGGCCCCACGCCAACAAAACCTCACACCACCCAGGAGCCGCACGCAAGGCTGGCCCGCCTGGGTCTTCAGGAGGCCCGGCCAGCGGGTAGGGTAGACCCTTGAGGACAGCTGGCCACATGTCCTCCTGGCTACACGGGTAGGGTAGGGCTGAGCGGGAAGGAGGGTGGGAGATGAAGGAGCTCCCCCCACTCCCCCCACCCCCGTCCTTGGGTTGCGAAGTGTGCCGCAGCTGCTTGCACACAGCCAGCAAACCCCTCCAACCCCAACATGCGAAGTTAGGCCCATCCCGCAGCAAGCCGGCAGACAGCACCCAGAGAGATGCCTGGCCAAAGCGGCTGATGGCCAGGCCTTGCCAGGCATGAGCAGGGCAGGGCCATCCAGGGCCACACAGCTGCGGGACACTGAGTCCTGGGCCCTCAGTGCTGTGCCAGAGCCTGGCTGTCCCTGCCAAGGGGCCTGGCTGCACAGCTCCTGGGCGCTGCTAGGTGTGTCACACCACACTTAGGAGCAGCCTCAGCATGGCTGAAAGGAGCTACCTCTAAACCACTTTACTGTACACAGAGCCGTGCACACACACACACACACGACACACAAATACACAGACATGCACCTGTCTGCAAGAATACAATATCTGTGTGTGCACATACATCCATGTGCATGCACATTCCTGTGCACATCTGTGTGCATAACACATACGTGAGCACATCCCATGGAAGCACACACACGCCCAGTCATGCATATTCCTACACACATTTGCGTGCTCATTACCATCCCTGTGCATATACATGGTGCGTACACACATCCAGTCACAAACGTACACCTCCGGTACCACCTGTCCACTGAGTGAATTTAAGCTGCTGACCACTGGTAGTTCTCCTGCTGTCGGAGCCTCAGTTTCCCCTGTCTGGGGAAGGTACTGTGCCAAGGTGGTTCTGAGGTGTAAGCTGGCCGAGTTTCTCCCTTCTCCCTCTCCTTGGAGGGAGCTTTGGGAAGCCGTGCCTGCCCTGCCTGCCTTTGTTCTCGGCGGTCACCCACAGCGGCTGCGGAGGTCTCTCCGCGTAGGGAAAGCAGGCATTCTTGTCTCAAGACCAAGAGGACTTGCTCTCCCTTACAGCAGCACTGAGGATTTCCCCTCAGGTTTACTTGAAATTTCATTTTTAAAGATGAGGCGGGGGGGGGGGGAAATGAGGCTTGCTTCTCTCCCTAGCCCTCTGTGAAGAGTTCCAGAACCTGGTCTTCCTTGTGAGGATGTGGAGGGCCGGGTGGCGGGTGGGCCTGGCTCCCGGCACCAGCCTGCGGGCCTAACCCATCCCACATTGATCAGCATCAAGGACTTGGCACCATCCGGGTCTAGCAGAGCAGGCGGAAGCCCTCCAGGGCAGAGCCGCCCCTGGGGCTGGCTGGGCTCAGCACCAAGTGTAATAGACTAGAACAGCAAGTCAGCATCTCCTGGATGCACGCTCCGCACTGGCCCACTGGGTGCAGATACCAGTGAGCTTCCACATGTCCCCATGGGGTCCCGCCTCCCTCAGCCTGTCCCCGCGGCCTGCACCGTCCCCTGGCCCCCAGCTGCCCTCTCTCGGCTGTCTCCCCAGCCTCCTGAGTCTGCTGGGTGGCTCATTCGGTCTGCAGACACGGCTGAGTGCCATCCGTGTGCATCGGCCAGTACGGCAGGGATATGACAGGTGTCGCCAAAGGCCTGACCTCCCCCTCTCTGGCCCCCTGGCTGGGCCTTGGCCTCGGGGGACTTGGGGCTGGGCCTGCAGCCTGGACTCCACGTCACCTTGGGAAGCCACTGTCCCTTCCAGCCTCGTTAGTGGCTGGGCGGGCTCCCCAGAAGGCCAGTGCGCCCTGGCTCTGGGCCAGCTCTGTGCAGGAGACCCTGGGTAGGAGGCCCCAGGCTCAGCCAACGACCCTCTCACCCCCCGCCCACCGAGGACCAGCAAGCCATGCCCAGGAAGGCTCCTTGCCGGACTCTCTGCCTGGACGTGATGCCAGGGGCTGCAGCACCTACCCCGTGAGCAGGAGTGCAAAGACGGGGATGAGCAGCACAGGGCCTCTGTCCCTGAGCCTCCGTGGGCACAGCCTCCGGCCAGGCGGCCTTTTCTGAGGAGACTCTGGGTAGCTACTTATTTAAGCCTTTGCAGGAGGAAAAGTCTGTACATTGCAAGGAAAGTGGCCCAACTAGCCTACTGTCCACAGCCCTGTCTGCCTCCTTGAAAAGTGACCAGCACGGCAGCTAAAATGTCCGCTCCCCCCAAGCCCCGAGGCCTCCTGTACCACGAGGTCCTTTGCAGACGCAATGACCACAGCAGCTCCGAGTAAAGCAGGAGGGCAGGAGGGCCCAGATGTCAGGGGACAAGGGTCATGAGCTATGGAGAAGTGGGAGGGGCCACAGCCAGGATGTGCCAGCTGCAGCTGGTCTCCAGGGAGAGCCGCCCTGCAGATGCATTTCAGGCTTCTGACTATCAGAGCTGCAAGAAAATGTGTGCGTGGATGTGTGCTGTGTGCATGTGTGTAGTACATTGTGTGGATGTGTGGTATACGCATGGTGATGCAGGTAGTATGTGGTGTGTGCATGTGTGTAGCATGTGTGGATGTGGTGGATATCTTGCATGTGTATAATATATGTGCATGCAGATGTGTGCTGTGTGCATGAGTGATGTGTAGTGTGGCATGTATGAGCATAGCATGTGTGGTATGTTTATGCATGTAGTACACACGTGCACATCTGTGTGTGGTAT